ACATAGCCTCTGGGATCACTCAGGCGCTGAAACCCCTCCACCACGTTAAGGTGGCGGTTCAAGGAGGGCTGGCCTGGGAGCGCCTAGGGCTTCCCCCAACAGAGCTGGAGGAGGTGTCTGCGGAGAGGGAAGTCTGGGAGTCTCTGCTTAGTCTGCTGCCCCCGCGACGGTGTTTCGGATAAAGCGGGAGACGACGAGTACGAGTACGAGTACAATTTGAGTTAACTCTTTGTTACCGACTGAAGTAATACATTTCAGTTGGAGCTTCATTCTCTTAGGTCCTTTCTGATTATTGTGATTTTCAATGCTTCATCAGTCAGCTGCTGGTTATTAACAGAGCAATTTTGTCCATCCGGTGCAAAGCAGTGCGTAACCACAGAGAAAAAGCTAACCCTGCTTAGGTCGACAGTTGAAAAAGGTGTGAACAACAATTTTAGAAATGCAGGAAACAAAAGAGGAGATCTTTAACAATAGCTTAGGAAGCAAAAGTTTAATGGCACAAATGCATACCCAAACTATTATTTGCATTAACCCTTTCCAAAATATGTTATTGTTTTTTTTATTATGATTATTTTATCTGTATATCACAATGGCTACATTCTTTCTGCTGTGTACAGGAAATATACCCCATCAACGGCTGTGGTCAAAGCTGTTGCTGTGAGACCAACTTTGTAAAAACGGAAGGAAACACACAGTCAGTGTTTAGAGATGTTTAGCATGCTGGTGTCATATATGTGAGATGTACAGTAACTTCTCCTTCTTCATTATATTTCAAATAAAGTAGAAGCCTTTCTGAAGAGCTGTGCAGCAGGTCTGGACGTGAGGATGAAGAACGCTCTGCTCTGCATGCTGGACTTTTTCTGTAAGAACATCTCAGACTTTCTGTTCAGTGATCAAAAACAATATTTATGCATGTTGGACTGGAGTTTATCACTGTTTGATCTGTTTCTCTGACCTGTGGAAGACAAAAGATGTCTGTTTATTTTACAATCAGTTAACCATCTGTAACCTTAGTGTTATCAAAAAAATGCTTTTGATGTTCAGCTTTTCTACTGATTTTGCATATTTCACCTCTTTACCTTTATTTTTAGAACAAAAAAAGTCTAAACTAAAAGCTATTTGTTATCAAGATGTATTTGTAATAATTTAGATTTTTTTTCTTCATTGCAGTGCTCTGGTCTTTCATCTCTGCACAGGATGATGGTGAGAATCTTTTCTTTTTTCCTTTTTTGTGACTAATTGACAACAGTGGTTGCACCCTGGAGTAAATGGTCAGTTCATTGTTTTTAAACAATATCTAATCATTTTTAACAAGATTTTCTATAATCACATGTTGTCTAAAACTAAACCTTTATATGAGTCAAAATGTAAAGAGGAAAATTTTCAACAGTTTTCTCTCTCCAGCACCATCTGCTGTCTGTGACCTGAAGGCAGAAACCAGTGTGTATGATAAATGTTATATCAAACCATTACAGTTAGGAAAAGACATACATAACATGGCTAAAAAAAACAAGAGAATATATGAATATTGTCAGGTTTGATAGAGGTTTGAAGAGAACCAAAATGCAGAGACTTAGGTGGTTTCTTAAAAATGTAATATCCAAAAGCAGGTGTGGACAGAGGAAGGGAGCTAGTGTCAATGCTTAGATAATTGGACCCAGAAATCAGGCAGACGGGGAACTATAATGAGCATGTGAGTCACTGAGATGGTTATAAGTTCAGTCCGTTTCCAGAGGAAGGAGTGCAGGTCAGATGACTTCTCCACAACAACAAGAGCTGCTCAGAGAGTTCCAGGAGCGGAGCAGATCAGCCTGTAGAGCGCAAGCCAGCAGATACTGAAAAGCAGGATGGTCCAGAGGCAAAAACCAGAGCAGGTGTCAGTCGCTGTCCAGACCAGAATATCAGAGAGATGCAGAGGTACTAAGGGGATTATCCAAGCTGGGGTCAGGGGTCAGATCCAGATCGTTAACAGGCATAGTACAAACAGCAGTCCAAAAACAAGCAACAGGAAGAAATAAAAGACCAAAAAAGGAGCAGACCAAAACTCAGGAATCCAACTTTAGTTCTGTTTAAAAATTAAGCAGAGCCAAAACATGTAGAATCATGACACAGAATTATGACAGTAACCCCCTCTTAAGGGTGGATACCAGATGCCCTAAAAATTTCAGAAAAAGCAATCCACCCAGGGTGGACAGATGGAGGACCATGAAGAAGGGCAAGAAAAAACAAACAATAAAAGAGTCCAAACACAAAACAACTCACAAAAGGTGGGTGAGGACAAAATAAATTATCTGAAGGCCGGAAGACATGAGGCTAGGAGGTAGGCAACACATAGTCTCTAAAGGCCGGCTGCGAGGCCAGAGGGCAGGGCAAAGTCTCTAGAGGCTGGCTGAGAGGCCACAGGTGAAGCAAAGTCTCTAGAAGGCAGTCCCTGAGGATGGGGACAGTGGAGGACTGTAGCACAGAAGCCTTTGGGACTGCCGACTGCAGCACATAAGTCTTGGGGACAACTGTGGCACAGGAGCCTTGGGGACTTGAGGACCGCGAGTTGTGGCACAGGAGCCTTCGGGACTGCAAACTGCAGCACATGAAGCCTTGGGGACTGCCAACTGTGGCGCAGGAGCCTTGCGGTCCGCAGACTGTGGCACTGGAGCCTATGAAGAGGGAGCACAGCTTTTGACCCACGAAAAGGCTGCCCTGCATGGGACCCACAAAGATGTGGCACTGCTTTGGAACCAGAAGAGATGGCACTATAGATAGTAATGGATGCCTGTGGAGGGTCCTAGGAGACAAGAAGTTTCTGCTAAGGGGGCCTGGAGGCGACAAGCACCCAATGAGTGGCCTTGGAGGTGAGAAGTGGTTGCTAAGGGGCCATGGAGGGAAACTCTGTGTCACAGCATAGTCTAACATGGGGCTTGGGGTTCTCTCGACGGCACAGAGCATGCTCAGGGGTCTCTCGACGGCACAGAGCATGCTCAGGGGTCTCTGGAGAGGGAACACTACAGGGATCTGACCCTGGAGACTGAACTCTAGAGGGGTCTAAGCCTGAAGAGGGAAGACTAGAGGGGTCTGAGCCTAGAGAGGGAGCACTACAGGGATCTGATCCTGGAGAGGGAACACTAAAGGGGTCTGACTGAGAGGCTAGGAGAATAAGATGGACTGACTGATGAGCTAGGGCACTAAAGCCCCATTTACACTACCCTCTGAAAAACACATCACACTAGCACGGCTACTCCTAATGACAATCTTCAGTACTATTGCTCTCTAGAAGGAAAACTTTTATAATTATGTTTTGTTCCAGCATACATCACCTGGTTAGCGACCTCCACCAAAATTGCAATAAGAAACTCGGTCTCAGCGCCATCCCAGGTCACACCACGCTTTTTGTAGTATTGCGAACATTTCGATTGTTGTTTACTACACTGAAAAACAGGCAGATCTCGAATATCTATAAATAAGTGTTAATGGCAGCAGCACAGCTGATTTTTCTCTCCAGGATGGTTTTACAGCCAAAAGGAAACAAGAGATGCAAGAAAATCTTTCTTCTCTGAAATCATTAACAAAAATGTTAACAAAGCTTGTGGCTTTTTGCTAAAGTTAACACACCCTCCTATCACCATGGCCAATGAACTTCCATCTAAAAAGGCCTGAAATTACTATTTTTTACTAAGAAAATAGAAAGTATTGGAAAAGTAATATGTATATCAACGACTGCAGGGACGCTGTCACAAGTTACATTAGATCAGGGGCCGATCTAGAAAAATATTTATGGGGTGGCGAGAGGGGGGCAGGAATTTTTGAGAGGTGGCAACAAATGGCATTTGTTTACACTGAATTTAATCACAGTTATCACAGTTTGGTGAGAATAGTATGTACAGTAAGTGTTTCATGTGAAACAATTCATATTAGAAATACATCGTACAATGTGACCTAACCTAATAGGAGACAGAAGAATGATAACACTACTTCTACAGGGGCATTATCACAGGAAAGGTCTTAAGGTAAGACACAGGTGCTGAGTCACAGATGTGTGAGATTGACTGTCAGAGAGGCAGCTTTGCAGCATTTGCACAAGAAGAAACTATAGAAAGAAAAACGTACCCATCAGAGATCTATGGACTGAGCTGGACTAAAGTGAGCATAACTACACAGTCAAAATAAATGGGTCAAGGCACCCGAACAAGGTACTGGACATCCATGTATTGTTTACTCTGAAAACACATTTACCACATTTGTTCCTCAGTAACTTGACATACAGCAGTTAAGGCAACATGAAAGGGACATTCCATGCATGTAAATATGCTGTAGATAGAGCTGCTGTATCAACAAATCAACAAAAGGCAGCTACTGTATTTTCCATCAAAATCTCTACCAATCTGAAAAGAAGCAACATAAAAATACATTTTGCTTCCAGTCTGAAAAAGTACAAAAAATGTTGTGAGTAGGTTCATACAGGTCACTTCTGGATAGTTTCATATTATATATACAAAAAAGAAACAACACTGCTTCATATTAAGCAGGATTTACACCAGTATCACATTTTTTACTTTAAACACTTTTGGTTTTATTAAAGGAAATATCTGATTTTCTCAGGTGCCAAAACAAAATGTAACAGCTCTGTAAAGGCTCACCAGAGAGCTGAATGCAGCGATTTCCATGTTGCTCAGCAAAACACTTCACTAATGTCATGATTGGGTTTCTGAGAGTAAAGCCCAAGATGCAGAACACACACGGAGACACTGGTAAAAGTCCAAAGAGTTTTTTAAAGGGCACAAGCACATGGATAATTTACTGGAACAGTTCAGGCAGGGGGCTGGTTCACCGGGGTCTGTGCAGGGAACGGGAGATGGCTGGTAGCTGAGTTCATGTGAGGCTAAGCATCTAGCTTAGGCTTAGCCTGGCAGTCCTGGGTTTGGGCTTCCAGCTCACTACAGAGAACAACAGGGGAAAACATGAAGGACTTTTTCAGGCTGAGCTTCCAGCTCACCGCAGGGAACAACAGGGGGAAATCCACATGGGAACCTCTAGGGAAACTCCACAAAGAAGTCGTCAGGTTTCATCCATGTAGTAATCTTCGGGTTGGCTCACCAGGGCAGATTAGCAGGTTAGGCTTTCCAAGAGCTTCAGGCTTGAGACTGGTTTCCTGTGATGCAGCTCTCCCAGAGCTGCAGACCAGAGACTGGGTTCCAGTGAGGGTGCTCTTCCTGAGCTTCACGAGGAGACAGGTGGTTAAGCTCATCCAGAGCTTCACGAGGAGACAGGAGGTTAAGCTCATCCAGAGCTTCACGAGGAGACAGGAGGTTAAGCTCATCCAGAGCTTCACGAGGAGACAGGAGGTTAAGCTCATCCAGAGCTTCACGAAGAGACAGGATTCCTGTGAGGCACAGATAAGGGAGAGATTAGAATCTGATCTCAACCTAGGAATAACCAAGACTCAATCTAAAACAGAAGGCTCAGGAAGCTAACCAACTAAGATCAACACTGCGGCGTGGAATCAAGGTCTGAAGGCAGCTTAAATACTGTGGTCCTCCTGATGAGTAGATCAGCCACAGGTGTGTGGGAGGCTCAGCTCAGGAGGACCCACGGCGCACTCTGCTGGAGGCAGAGGGTAATCTCCAGAACCTAACAGTAGCTCCAGCCCTAAGAGAAAAAGACAAGGAGCAGAAGAGGACCCTTGGCGCCCTCAGGTGGGCAAGCCTGAGGATCCCAACAACTAATCTATTTAGATCCAAAGCCTTTGTGCGTTTTAATTTGAGTACAACCAAACTTAATAGTCTCTTTTATAAGCATCTCAAAAATCAGTGAGCTTTTTGGAAAAGTTGAGTTTTTACATCTAAATTCAAACTGTGGGAGAATCACGGTGCTGATATCATTGGAACTTAGTGTAGCATTTAACACCGTTGATAACTTGATTTTATTAGAGTCTGGAAAACTGTAAAAATGCTTAAAATTTAGTTCTATTAAATCAAAGTTAAAAACCAATTTGTTTGGAACTGCCTTTGATTTTTAAAGTTAAATGGCTAACTGAGGTATCAACCCACTGGTTTACTTGTTTTTCTACTTTTAGCATGTTTTTATCTTTACTTGCTTTTACTTTGCTTTTCTATTTTCTTTCTAGTTTATTGTTTATTTAATATGAAACACATTGAATTTTCTTTGTACTGAACTATGCATTTGTTTATTTCTGGCTTTCTGGTTATTCTTTTAAGTAAAATCATTTTGTTATTCTTCTTCTAATCTTCTTCAAACATCATCAGAGAAGTAGCTTTGTCTTTGCTTTATCAGCTGAATAATGTCTGATCTGGCTTTGATCTTTATTGTAGTGCTCAATACCTTTGCCACAGATATGGTGAGAATCAGTTTTCTTCAAATTTATTATTAATTTATACATTTATTTGGAAAACTTTGTTTTTGTAATTTTGTCATACATTAATATTTGTTTTCTATTGGTTCACTTCAATCTACATGGTCCAGAAATGGAGCCTAGAAGTACATAATGTAGACAGAGCATGTTGTTATTTTCCTCCATTCATCGTGATTAAATTAAATTTTTTTGGGTTTTTTTTTTAATCATTTGCATCCTTAGGCCAACTATAAACACAATGAGACTTTATAATGCTTTATAATAAGGGACCCAGAGTGGCAGTCTATGGGAGTGGGGCTTGATGTCAGAACCTCAGGCATCCAAGCACAGTGCTCTAACCATTAGGCCACCACTCCCCCTAATTAGGACACTCCCCTTATAAAATATAACATACATTTCAAATTATTTTTTATTTTGCTACATTTAGTATTATGCATAATCTATCTACTTGGTGGTACACTGGGAGTGCTCTCTAATCCAGGGCGAGCTATAGCACCCTGTAGTATTTCTGTCATGATGGGTTACTGAAAAAGCCCAAGATGCAGAACACCACGGAGACTGAAGAAAAGTTTAACAAGTTTATTGTTCACAAGCACATGGAAATAACACAGGTACTGGTTCAGGCCTGGGGGCTGGTTCACTGGAGTCTGTGTGGGAGACAGTTCAGTTAGCTTGGGATCAGTTGAGTTTGAGAGTTTCAGGTTTATACCTTGAGAAGTCCGGTTTAGGCTTTGAGAGAGGAACTGTTGGGTCCAGAGATTGTTTAGGTCAGCAGAGTCCGATAACCACTTCAGCGTCTTACTTCTAGCGTGAGGGCAGACCTTGGCTTTGGGTTTCCAGCTCTTAGTCCAGAGCAGCATGGGAATCCAGAGAAGAGTCTTCAGGTTTGGCTCAGAGGGCAGGCTCGGCAGGATAAGCTCATCCAGAGCTCACAGGAGAAAAACAGGATTCCTGAAAGCAGAGACAAAAGGGTTAGAATCCAATCTGGATTCAAGAGCAACAAAGGTTCTCAGAAGATGCTAGGCTCAGGTGCTAACCAAACTGGATTTAACACTGCAGCGTTGAGGCAAGGTCTGAAGGCAGGTTGTATACTGTGGATCCTCTGATGATGAGATGCGCCTCAGGTGTGTCGAAGGCTCAGCTCAGGAGGATCCATGGCGGACTCTGCTGGAGAAAGGTGGAACTACTCCAGATCCCAACAATTCCTCTGCTTTTATAGATTGTCTTGAGTTGTAGATTTCCAATGATAAGTGCTAAACTTTGTTCAGGTACAGTTGATTTCTGCTGTCCAACTTGTGATTAAATATCTTTTATCAATGCTGTTTTTACCCCAAGCTGTATGTCTACTCTATTTCTTCTGACAGATGGTTGATTTTTTTCTATTGAAGAGGATGAAGCATGCTAATTCTTATGCAGAAAAATAATCAATTGTGGCAGACATTACACGCATTTGCAGGCAGTAAAGATATTAAGGGTTGATTAATGTTTGGCGTGTTTTGTTTTGGTATATTATGATATAGTTATGAAGTGGATGGGCTGCAATCTTATCTAGCAAATCTCCAATCCCCTTCCGTGTATATTGGCATGTGTTTTGTCTGCTCGTGTATTTTTTTTTTTATTCTTTAACTTATTATGCTTATCTAAAAGATATATGAAGTTTTAAAGAGGAAAAATATACATAATACTGTTATACCTGCTTAATGTATATAGTTTTGTTTCTATTCAGAGACTTAACAGTAGATTTCAAGACAAAAATTGAGGTCTCTGAATTTCCTTGCAGTAACAAACTGTCTTTTTAAATATAAATGTAATAAATATATCAGCAGAAGACTCCTCCTACCCAGATGCACCACAGAGCGCCACAGGAAATGATTCCTACCTGTGGTCTCCCTCAAGTGATTCAGACACCCCACCCCACCCCCTCCTCCCCGTGATAGACATTTATGCCCTATTTTTGCACGCCACTTATCACTTTACTTGGATTTATCACTTACTTGGACTTTATTTTGATTTAGTTTTTACAAGAATCTTTTATATATAGAAGAGCTATATGTGTATATATTATATAAAACTGTAACTGGAGCATGAAACAAAAGTAATTTTCCTCTGGGATTATTAAAGTATTTCTGATTCTGATTTTAATGTGACAAGTTTTTCTGCCTAGGATGATGAATTACTGTTAGAAGGAAGTTGTTTTATTGTCTTAAAGATTCTTTAGGTGGTACTTACACTAAATTGCAGGGGTTTGATGAACATAATGTAGAGTAACCTAGACATGTGGCCTGGGGGTTGTGTCTTGTGGTATTACTATGAGCCACACAGTCCTAAAACAGGTTGACTGTCTCAAGTGATGCCACAAGGTTGGATGCAGCAGATTAATAATGTGTGTTACATCTTATAACTTCCAGATCACAGCAAAATTTTCGTGGCTATGGTTTAGATATTACTGAGGATCCCCATCAGTACCACCATCTATGGCAGGCAGGAGGTCTGCTGGCAATCTCCATGAAACGTTCTTCTCTTGCTCCAAATTCCTCTGTCTCTGATTGCTTTGCCCACCTTGTTTGTGTTGCTATGAGTGCATTATCAGTTGTACTTTAAAAGTATTCTGAAGATTTTCTTGATTTTGCCTCAACAGCAAGTAAACCCAGAGCCACAATGACAGCAAAGAAAGACATCATACCAGCAGGGGGAGATGTAACTCTAACCTGCTCTGTGTCCAACTCTGCCGGCTGGAAGTTTGACTGGTTCAGACAAGAGTCACAGTCTTCTGAAGCTCAGCCTATTAGAACCAATGTACCAGAGAGAGACCTCAGAGTCTCAGATGGAGGTGTGTACAGCTGTAGAGGAGGAAGAGGCGATCCAATTTTCTACACTGAAACCAGCAATCAAGGATCTATATGGAAAACTGGTAAGTTTAGCGAACCAGTAAACGAAATTGAATCTTGAATTTGTTTGATAATGGTGTAGAAAATGCTAAAATATATATATCGATCACAAAATGTATTTCATGATGTTGGAACAGTATATTGAACTGTTTTATGTGAATTAGTTGCAGCCATGAATATTATAATTAAACCACTGTTGTTTTCTTCAGGTTTCTTTTCTAAATCTTGGAAAAATTACCAAACAACAACAAGACTATAAAAAGAAAACAGCTAATGGTCTAATAATAATTACCATAACAATTTTTTATAGCTCACCACAGCCAGCTATTAAATATTATTAATCAGTTTGAAAGCTTTCCAATGAATTTTTAATATTATTGTTATTTCTATTTCCATATACTGTTCTTTTTTAGTTTGATTATTTTTTTTTAGTTTTTGCGTTAAAGTGCTGAACAGTAGAAATGATAATTATCTGAGATGTACCTTTGAATTTGTTTCTCTTAGACTTAACTATATATTTCTGTAAACAGCTCCCATTAATCCCAAAGTAACTGTGCAAGCCAGTTGGTCTCCGATATTCAGAGGAGAGACAGTTACTTTGAGATGTGAGATCCATGGAGGTGAAGGAACTAAGTGGTGGTATAATTGGAGACCAACCAGCAGAAACTCTCCAACATCCCGTGAATACAGGATCATTGCAGCAGACAGTGGCAGATACAGCTGCAGAGGAAGAGAAAGCTATGTGTTAACTCAGTGGAGTGATGATCTCTCATTAACTGTTTGTAAGTATTACAGCAATTCACAGTATTTTAACAAGTCTGTAAAGGAATGCTCTGAGTCTACACCTTTAAACTTTCCCCTGTTCTGTCCTGAAAAGAGATCTCTCGAGACAAACTCTTAATTAACACTTTATAATCTACATGTATTTAATAACCATGAGACATGACAACAGATTCTGACAGAAACTGTAATCTTACTCAGTCCAGAGAATTTGCTTAGGTTTACAGAAGCCAGCGTTTTTTCAAACGGGCTCACCTACCATGGTGTGGCCCTAAATCACAGCTCATCAAAAGCATGTCATACAAGTCCACTATGCCACATCATCACATTATATCATACTCGTTTTTAAATGAGGAGAAATCCATGGCTCCAGCCTTATCAAAATATTGCACTTTATTCATAGATCAAAGACACCACTCTTATTCGTACCCAAATCTTTGCCACGTACATAATGAAGATGTTGTTTTTATCCTGATAGAGGAACTGTCCCAATTAGATAAACTACATTAGTTCTGACAAACAACAGGCAGGTATTATTAGGGTTTAACAGACACACATCTTCAATAAGAATAATCATAACAAGTCTTATCCAAATATTTTACTTGTCCAAGCTTATTTTTTCCAACTGAAATTATTTAAGATTATTTACTTCTGCTGCCTAAAATAATTCTTTGATCAACTTCAAAGAGAAACTAAAATTATTTCTGACCCATCAACCAGCAGTATTACAGTGTTATCAAATGCTATAGTTTTGTTTTTCTAAAAATTTTCAAACATATATTATCAGATTAAATTCAGTTTATTTATATAGCACCAAATCACAAAATGTCATCTCTAAGCACTTTACAATTCAAACAGATCATACATTCAAACTGATTCAGAGTTTTCTATCTAAGAAAAAACAAGTTAATTGCATTGACTCATTGACTTAAGGGCAATCCCTCACACCCAACATGCTTGTAGCGACAGTGGAGAGGAAAAACTCCCTTTTAACAGGAAGAAACCTCCAGAAGAACCAGACTCAGTGTGAGCGTGCATCTGCTGAGGCCGAGTTAGAGATTGAATTAAAAAATTCTGCATAGTGGAAGAATAGATATAGAATGAAGCAGAATGATGAAAAGGGGTCCCTATGTCCTCCACCAGTCTAAGCCTATAGCAGTATAACTATAGAGATAGCTCAGGGTAACCTGAGCCCCTTTTACTATAAGCTTTATCAAAAGGAACATTTTAAGACTACCTGTAAAAGTAGACAGGGTGTCTGCCTCATGGACTAAAACTGGTAGTTGGTTCCACAGGAGAGGAGCCTGATAACTAAAAGATCTGCCTTCCATTACTTTTAGAAATTCTAAGGACCACTAGTAAACCTGCAGATTGAGAGAGGAGTGCTCTGTTAGGAACATAAGGAACAATCAGATCTCTGATGTAAGATGGAGCTTGGCCATTTAAGGTTTTATATGTGAGAAGGAGGATTTCAAATTCTATTCTGGATTTAACAGGAATCCAACAAAGAGAAGCTGGGATAGGAGAGAAATTATCTGTCTCATTTTGGATGAGCTGAAGGCTTTTAACTACAATTTGTGGACTTCCTGATAGTAAAGAATTACAAAAGTCCAGCCTTGAAGTAACATATGCACGGACTAGTTTCTCAGCATCACCCCTGGACAGGAGATTTCTAATTTTTACAATATTCTGCAGATGAAGGAATGACATTCTACAAACCTCTTTTGTATGGGATTTAAATGACAGGTCCTGAACAAAAATAACACCAAGATGTTTTACTTTATCTGAGGTCAATTTAATCCCATCCAAATGAAGTGACTGACTAATCAGGTTCTTTTTAAAGACTCTGGTCCATCTATCTGTAAACTATTTCTGTGTATATATATATATATTTTTTGTCTGTATATTATTTGCAAAAGATAATTTCCCATCTCACATAGCAGCTGGGATGTAGACATTGCAAAAAAGAGAGATATTGACAAAACTTCATGAGTGTGCTTCATCACCTGCAAAGAGAGATGTAAAAAGAACAGCAAAACCAACTGATATAGAACTACAGATACAATACAGCAACATACAGTATTAATCAGTAGGGAATGGCGAGTCGTCGAGTATGTAAGTAATTGGATCCAAGCACCTGTAGGTGTTTGATGGTGCGCTTATGTGGGTAAACTGCTCAGAAGTGGTTGTGAAGAGCCAAAGAACCCTCCACCCTTCTACTGAGTGCAGGTGTTTTTATTTTCTTTTACCTGTTTTACCTCTACTAAGAGGGTAATGTCTTTATTGGTGTCAGTTTTCTGTTTAACAAGAATGAAGAAATTGTGTACTATAACATTGACCTAGAGCCCAATTAATTAGGTGTTGATTTATTTTATTAGGTTAATAAGGTGGTGATCTAAATATCTTCTAGTTTAAAGTTCATATATTTCCAAAACCCAGCAGACAAGCCTAAAGCCACAATCACAAAAGTGGAACAAAGTTCTACCAGCAGGGAGCAGCATAGCACTGCACTGTTCTGTGTCCAGTTCTGCTAGATGGAAATGGAAGTTTGACTGATTCAGACAGGAGCCAGAATCTCCTACAGCTCATCTCATCAAAAGTCCTGTTTGTTATATCTCATAACTGCCGAATCATACTCATTTCTCCATGGCACTGATTTGGAGAATAACTGAGGATCCCCATGAGAACCACCATCTATGGGAGGAGGTCTGTTGGCCTTCTCTATGAAACTCTCCTCTCTTCCTGCAAATTCCTCTGTCTCTGGTAAAGAGAAATTCTGATATGGCCATAAAAAATACAAAGTTATCATGGGATTGTTTTGCCCACCTTGTTTGTGGTGCTGTGAGTGCATCATCAGTTGCACTGCAAAAGTATTCTGAAGATTTATTTGTTTTTGCCTCAACAGCGAGTAAACCCAGAGCCACGCTGACAGCAAAGAGAGACATTATACCCGCAGGGGGCAGTGTAACACTTACCTGCTTGGTGTCCAACTCTTCTGGCTGGAAGTTCGACTGGTTCAGACAGGAGTCCGAGTCTTCTGAAACTCAGTTTATTAAAAACAATGAACCAGATGGAGTCCTCAGAGTCTCAGAAGGCGGTACATACAGCTGCAAAGGAGGAAGGGGAGATCCTGTTTTCTACACTGAAACCAGCAATGAAGTTGCAATCTTTAAAACTGGTGAGTTTAGTTTAGTTTCATCCCTAAAACAATGATTGTTGAACTGTGACTTTCCTTAGGATTTGTGTAGAAAATGGTAAAATTACTTTCATCTACAAAAAGAATACTGTTGTGTTTTTAAATGATGTTAAATTAAATTGTGATATTAAAATTATCACCATAGTTTTATATTTCATTTTTTCATAAGACTTTGAGAGTTTAGCATAGAGAATGCTCAACGTTTGAATTAGAGCAAAGGTTTTATTTCTGGCTTTTTGGTAACTCTTAGCGTGCAAACAAGATGAAGTGTTGTGAGATTTGTGAATTCACAAACTCCTGAAAATACCTCCAGCCAGGAGCCTACAGATAAATTTGGCCTTGATACAGAAATGTTTCAGAGCGATGAAATGCAATCATGTGTATGACATCAATGTGTCAAATGGAGGCAGAAGGCAGAGGCAAAACAAACATGGCTGTCCCAGCTTTAGCTAGAACACCCTCTATTTACCCTCTAGAATGGGATTTTTGCCTTTGGGGATTTGCAGAGGGTTGAGCGTTCCCTCTTACCAGATTTGGTTAGGGTTTGATTAATCAGTTAACTCAACTGCTTGTGAAACAAGTGAAGTTGCTACTCCTGCTGCGATTGGCTAAAAACTTGAAACCGGAGGCAGGTACCCAATCAGATCTAAGAACTGAACTGAATCTATATCCCTTTTGTGAACATTTTCTACAGGAGTCTTCCCAGACCGATACATGTAGTAAAATTTGAATTCTACATGGAATCAATCTAGCTTTTGCTAGGTTATGGTAACTCACTTTGAACTGAATGTTAGAGTATTTTTATAGTAAGGCAGAAGATAAAAAACACTTCCTAGAAAAGCAAATATAATAAAATAAACACACACTGAATTATATGTATTTTCTTTTCATGTTCTGTTAAACAGTATATTTGAGCTGCTGACAAATTTAATCTAAGTGATCTATATATTTTTTTTATTAAATCTAGTAGTGTCAACAAATAATTGATAAGCAGTTAATACCTCCTCCTATTTTAAGTAAAATCTCCCCACAAAACTCTTTCACAATGTTTTTTTTTTCATTTAGCATTATGTGTTTTCTAAATATAAAATTCTGTTTATCATAATGTAAACATCCTTTATAAAATTGCTGAGGATGAGTTCAGGTTCGCGGAGAATATTAAAAAAGCTTTATATTTTCAGCTTATTACTCATCAGCTCTGGTGCAACAAACATGTCTTTAATTAATTGCTATTATTTTATCTTCATTATGTTCTGTGATCACACTGTTTCAGTTTTAAGTTTAAATGTCATTACTTGCTATTTTAATAGATACACATACAATACAGCAACATATAAATAATACCTTTTTAAAATATCACATTCGAAGTAAAATTCAGAGATACAAGTATTTATATCGCTTAATTTTCCACAGATCAAATTGTCCCTGTCCTCTCTGTGTCTCCATCATGGCTGAGTCCTGGAGCCTCAGTGAATCTGAGCTGTGAGGTTAAGCCTCAGTCTGCAGGATGGGAGTTCTTCTGGTATAAAGCTGTTCCTGATTTATCATCCACATATTACACATTTGAGCAACTTCCTGGGAGCGAGAGTGGAAGCCAACAGAACCTCTACATCATTCATGATCAAACTTTCACAGCAGGATATGTGTGCAGAGCAAGAGGAGATACAGCAGAGTTCACTGCCTACAGTAAACCAAAGTTTGTCTGGTCTGCAGGTCAGTATTTTGTTCTATATACTCTAAATATCAGTGGCCATACTTTCCAGATGTTAAGTTATGGTTTCCTTTATCTAGTTAATCAAAAATAATGTTGCTTATTTATTGTTAATTTGTTTACTAATTATCTGCATATAAAAGGCAAAAAAAAGCATAAGTAGTTTTTCTTGGAGAACGTTGTAAGTCTGTCACATGGTCCAAAAATCTGTCTGATTGGATTCACAGTTGTGAGACACCAGGGAAAACTCTCAAGGCTGAAAGAAAAATCAGCTGTCAGACTGACCCAAACAATCTATTACTATCTGAAATCCAGCTCACTGTGTGGAGCGGCCTTTAGGCCCTAACCCCTTAACTCCCCTAGATATAACTTAAACATAATGCTCTGTTTCCACTGCCTTCCCTCCCTGACAACATATGTGAACCTGCTCCATGTGTGGCTGGGTGATGAAAATTACATTACATCCTACTGTCAAGGACAATGGCCCCGGGAAAAGTGCTTCATGGACATACTTTGTACACACTCAAGCACATACGTGGTCACTGATATAAATATACTCACCCCTCATACCACCTTCAAATTTCCCCACACAATATACTGTCTGTTATCTGTCTTTGCTTCTTCTGCTGAGTTTTTTTTTTTTTTTTTGTCTCAGACTGTATCCTGCTAAGGATAAAGTGTAAAATATGATTTTTTTTTATTATCCTCTCATCCGTTGCAATCCTTTTTTCTTTACTGCAAGGATGGTGCCTTTGATGGCAGCAAGGCCCACCCCATGTATTTCTGTGTGTTGTCTTTACTTGAACAGGCTGTACTGAAAATGAATTTTTTTCTTTCTGGAGTGCTACTCCAGGCTGGGTGAAAAATAAAGATGCTTTGATTTTTACCAGATAATACAAACGAGTTACTTAGGCTTCTGGCTGACTCTATGTATCTGTCAGATGAGAATGGCATGAGAGACACATGACATTCAAAGACATTTGTGAACATTTCCTATCAAAACCTGTTATTAATTTGTGTCAAAAACAACCCTATAAAGAAAAAGACTAACACAGTAACAATGTGTGAAAATATACAATAAATATACATTGAATTCTGATAAAAAAATAACGGACTATAATGTACAAAACTACAAATCAGATGGTTGGAGGAGAGTTCTTGACTCAGGTGAAGGAGTTTAAGTATGTTCAGGTCCTGTTAATGCCATACAGTGGCTTTGCTATATATACTGTGATAAGTGGAGAAAAATTTGTTTTAAGATGTTTTTAAGTGAGAAAGTACACCTCGGCAACTAATGCATCACATCTGGTCACCCCTTAGGGGTTTTCTGCTACAGTTTGAGGCAGCTGAAAAAAGATATTAAAATTTTTCATGTATATGGTACAAACTGCAAACACCACAATAACAAAGAGAACATATTCTGCAAGCAGGTTTCGACATTTTAAGTTGATTTAGGCATTAATAAACTATTTCAGTGGATTTATCAGAGCACTCTGCATGAGCAAGGCTGTGTCTGCCTCCCTGCTAGCTCCCAGATCAGCTTTCCTGATGAGAACAACTTTTGGGTGTCAAAGTGTCTGATTTGCATGCAAAGTCTATGGAGGATGGTGTTGAGAGGTCCAGTGGCATGTCTGAGTAATGGGAGTGGCACATGTGAGCATTGCATCTGAACCTTCTGGCATCTGAGCATTTGTTGCTGGAGTTCAGAAAGTGAAATTGTTGTAGCTGGATGCCCGAGCGTAAGCCGATCAGAAAAGCTGAACCAGGATTATTTTTTGGAAGACAGAGACTACAAGCAAGCTGTTATTGCTTCAGCAGTGCTGTCTGTATATGAAAAATAAATAGAAAATAAAGGGGTTAAAGCCCTAGGTTAAAAAAAAAAGCCAAGGGGATGGATTGTTATGTACAAAGGAAACAGAGCGAGAAAGTGAACACTCCGAGTTCCCAACTTTAGGCTAGGTCACTTTAGTTGCGGATTTCAATCTGAGTTTGTTAAACGTGCTTCATGAAATGGACCCCAGCAGTTCCCTTAGAAGGCTGTACTTCCTGGGTGACTGCAGAAAGTGTGGTCTCTACAGTGCCTTCTTCTTTTTACCTGGTTTTTATGTTAAAATGTGGTAGATACATTTTTCTAGGTATTTACTTTATTTCGAGATTCACTGATATCATTTGATTACAGGAAGAACAATGCATTTTGATCAACTTGTTGAAATGTTTGCACTGATTATTATTACTAAAAATGTCCAAAAGGATTTCTTAGTAATGACATGTGATTAGTTACTTTTCTGTGCTCAGCCTAAATCCTGTGTTGTTTTCCAGATCCTCATCCAGCAGGTTCTCTCTCAGTGAGTCCTGACAGAGTTCAACACTTCATATCTGACTCTGTGTCTCTGAGCTGTGAGGGAAACTCTGCTGAATGGAGAGTGATGAGGATTACAGAAACAGTTCCACTGTCAAACTGCTCTATCTTTGGGAATATGAATAGATCTACATGCACCATTCACATAGACTGGCATCATAGTGGAGTGTACTGGTGTGAATCTGGATCTGGAGAGCTTAGCAATGCTGTCAACATCACTGTACAGGGTAGGTTAAAATTAATTCACTTTTTCTTTCTCTTCTCCATGTTTTCCAACATTATATGTAATATTCAGGACACACTGTATCTATACTAACTGCAACTTTTAATTTGAATATTTATGCCTTGGAAAATTGCTGTCTGTATTTATCTAATAAAGGGTATCATTGAGGTTGTTTCTGAAAGTAGTTTAGCTTTAAACAAATGTCTAACTCTTTGCAATTTTTCTCCCTTTTTAATGGCACAGAGGTTCCCCTTATTATCTACTAATTGATTTTTGCTAATACAGAACTTCTTAGAAATATCATGATCATATTAAAATATATGTACATGATTGTCTCTGTTCCCACAAGATCAACTGATATTTTTAAATTTCAAATTCAACAATTAAACTATCAATTTTAACCATTGCTTCAGCTTTAACACTGGCTGTCACAAACAGCCAGAAAAAGAAAATATGTCAGTGGTTAACAATTGTATAAAAGATACGTAAGGCACTGTCATTATATAATGACATTGGAATTAGATATCCTTCAACAGAAAGCTAAATAATTCAGTTTAAATCTTTTTAATAGTTTTGCTTCTAGACATGTTATATGTTAATGCTATTCCTATATTTCGAGAAGATATTTAAAATACTGTCTTGTTGAGGCACATTCTCTGTGTGACTGATAAGATCAACTCTTACTGTTGAGATTAATGCCATAAACTATTCTCCAGCAAATCTGCAAATAGATAGTATTAATAGATTTTTGTTGTTCCTTATTTCCAATAGCTCTGTCCAGTCCTGTCAGCTCTTTATTTTCTGTCTTGCTAATTGTTGGACCAGTTATTGGAGTCATTGTCATCATTCTCCTGATCTTCTTGTGGCACTGCAGACGGTCCAAAGGTGAGACCTTTTTTTCTGCTCACACCAGATCAGACTCACTTACTCTATTTATTAAAATGGTTTAAACATGCTCTGGCATTTTGATACGACATAAAAATAGAACATTGTTCTCTTCAAATTAATTAAATCTCCATTTTCCTCATAGGTTTGCAATGTTTCAGGTCAGTATGAAACATCTTTCCTCTTTCTTAACATATTTAAAATGTACTGTAGTCAATAAAGTCATGTTTCTATTATTTTTAGATTGAACCAATCAGAGGGCAGCAATGGGGCATCAGCAACCAATTGTAGAGGGATCCAAACTGACTGTCCTATTTACAGTTCTAGGTTTCAAGGTTGGTGTCAGAATATTTCTATTACTATTTGGGAAGTTTGATTACAGTGTGGCTATTTTTATTTTCTTTGTAAAATAAAAAAAAAGTCATACATGAAGAAATCAAAGAAAATTACAAAAAACAACAAGGTAATTCATATTTTGATATTAATAGTTTGCTTTCCTTTTGACAAAATGTACCTGAAATTACAATACTATGAGACATAATACTATAAGAAAAAATATGAATTACAGTTCTTAAATTGTACAGTTTTCTTTTAGGACTTTGTGAAAAAAAATGAGGTCACATGCACATATTTTATTTCCACCCATTGGAACATTCACCTGTAGGGGCACACAAAAATCCTTCATGGGAAGCAGCATGGTGGCCATGAAAAACCAAAATACAAGCCATTGACTGACTATTTAAATGTCGTGAGGATTTACTTGTACTCATTCTCACTGCTACATCCAGCACTCATTGGCAAGGTAGCAATTTTCAGGAAAAACTACGACATGCCAAGAACACTTTCCAAGTTGGGTGTCCAGGTGACATCAAAAACCTTGCAGGGCCAAAAAGTTTTCCTTTGTGTTGGTAGATCAGTTTTTCTTAATACAACATTTGTTGGCGATCAAGATGGATATATGTGTGTGCCATGAAGCTGTCATGATGAAGCTACTAATAAATTATGTTGGAGAGAAAATAAACTGAACTTGATTATTTGAAGACAGTGTTAGGTTCAAAAATGTAGGTTTGTAAAAGAGAAACTGAGTCCACACAGGAAAGAGATTCAAACAGCTCCTGCAGGAGTGGAAAAAGCCCAACCCAACTTCCAGCTCTTTCCTCCGACCCCCTCCTGCAGTCCGTCTTTTATTAACAGAACATAACATATGGTTACAAAACAGTATTGTTCTGACAGAGCAATTGATCAGTTCATAAGACAGGATGCTCCGCGACTGAATCACAAGGCAGGGTGGTCTCCTGACTGAATCACAAGACAAAGTGAAGCATCTCCTTGCTCAAATGTATCATAAGCACACACACACATTAATTTTATAATCATCATTGAATAAACCTATCAGACAGGAAATGCCTTGTACAATTAGGACCTAATTGGCTATTAGTGTAGCCAATGACTGCCTCTACATAATGCTCTAAGGATTTACTATTACTCATAATCAAGCTAGTAATCTGAAACTTTATCAGGGAGTATATCAGGAGCGTTGCCCTCTGGTAAGACCACCAGACTTCTTTCTCCCCAGTATTCCGACTGAGGCATAGTCCCTCTAGTGTGTTGTGGTCCATCTTTGGGTTTTATTCCAGTGGAATGTGCCTGTAAAACTTCCCAAGGGGGGCAGCTAGAGGGCATCCGAAAATTATGTCTGAGCCACCTGACACCTCTCTGTGTGGAGCAGCAGCGGCTTGTGCTCTGAGGCTGACATCAGCTTTCTGTATCCAGTGTAATGTTCTTTCAGTCGTAACCCTAAATTAATGACCATAGCTGAGGGTAAGAACATAGACAAACAGGTACATAAAAACTTTATTCACCCAATAATGTGTGACCCAGTTACAAAGTAATAAAACCAAACACTTTTAAATAGAATATATAGACTCCGGTTGGCTTGAGAATGTAAAAAAGCAATATAAGAAAGAGATAAAAGTATTGCTGAGTCTCACTTTAATTTCCAAAACTTTCCAACTCCTCAGTCTTGGGGAAACACCACAGTTCGCTCTTTTTCCCTCCTTACACAAAGCTTCACAATAAAGGCTTACATTCTGCCTTCACAATAAAAGCATACACTCTGGTGGGTAATAGTGACAAGAGTTTATTAGCTTTGCTAAACAATGAGGGTAACGGTTGGAGTCTAAGAGGTGAGCTGAGGAGGGTCTCGTAGCTATGGTTAAGTTTAATAAAAGCAAAACAAACTATTTTATTTTCAAAAACGAAAGAATGTTGAAATAAATAAATATAAAAATTTATAAAAATATAATAATATAAAAAAAAAAAAAAATATATAAAAATATAAAAATTTATAAAAATATAATAATATAAAAAAAAAAAAAAATATATAAAAATATAAAAATTTATAAAAGTAGAAATAATTAAATGGAAAAATTATTCAGTAAATAGTTCAAAAATACAGAAAATAAATACTACATACATACATTTATCTAAAGAATAAGACTTTTTCATGACCAAAACATATCTGTTTTGGTCATGAATTTAATCATTTATGTATGTATTAATTTAATGTAATGTATTTGTTTTTGCATTTTAATGTGTATTTATTTATTTATTTGTATATGTATTTATATTAATTCATATTAATTTTTTTTGTTTGTTAACTTTCCATTTATTTCACTGTCTGTAGATGACTCCTCCATCTATGAGAACTTCAGAATTTCTGGAAATGGTAAAGTATACTGTTACACTAAGGGGAGATTCTAGATGAAAAGACTAAATACTGTAAAAAAAAAAATAAAATCTAATAAACATCAGAAAAAAAAGCTGATTTACTTTGTAGGGAATACAAGGAAAATATGTTAAATATAAGATTTTTTTAATCACTAATTTTATGTTTTTGTGTTTTTTCCAATTTGTTAACATGGCAGTGTCAGCAATGAATCCTCATCATCCAGCAGAAGACTCTCATTATGCTAATGTTAAACCAGGTAATTAAAGCTGAACGTGGACTTCAGATGGTCAACATCTACATACTGACATCACCAGAAATCGTCCCCATCAGAAACACAACTGAGGACTGTTATAATGATAGGAAGCATCATTCTGTTTAATAATTACAGTATGTTTAAAAAAATTTCCTGCCACCTTCAGAGGTTACGCTCAAAGTTTAGGTATTTTTCTTCGTGTGGAAAAAAATATTAGTCCAAGCTTTCTTACTTTGTAACAGCATCGAAATAAATATCTAAAACTGATATTGACCATGATCACAAAGCTGTATTTTAAAATTTAAGATCTGGTTTCTGTTTAAGCTCCACTGTTACCTTCAAGAGCATGTAAAGTAAAAATAAACGTTGGTTTTTACACTATAGAAATGCGTTTTACTAATCAGGCCTCAAAATATAAATGATTAAAAATGCAACTAAGCATATAAAATTAGGTCTCAAAAGTAATGAAAAAAACTCAGATTATTTCCTGAGATGCTGGAGGCTTGTCTGCTAGGGCCTCTGAAACCATGCCTACAAGATATTGTATTTAACTGCAATAGTTTTAAAGACAAAAGCATATAACATTTACATTTAGATTTTTGATTCAATGGGATAAATGGAGGCTTTACACATGTGTGACCCATGTTCAATAAAGAAACAGAGGAGACACTCTACTTTCTGACAGCAGAAACTGGCTGTATGCTGGTGGAGGGAGGGGCAGGCTTACTAATTGTAGGAGTGGATAAATTCAAAGTGGTCTATGCATATGTTGTCACCAAAGTACAAGAAAAAGTAGGTAGATTTCTTTGTAGTTACTTATTTGAAAAAAATATGCAAAAAAAAAAAAAAAAAAAATACCGAAGCAGCCTGTTTGCTCCCTGCTGCTAGGCCAACAGGGAATAGGCAACTTCCTTACAACACCTGGTTGCACTTTTAGACACCCAAAAACATCCTGGCACACTGGAATATTGGAATACAAATGTAAGTCTAGTGCCTCGGTGCAATCGTTAAAGGTTGGGAGATGTTTGACACATGTAGAATAATATATTTATGACATTTAAAATGTGTTTAGAAGAAAATTATGGAATTTGCTTTAAACAGTCATTAAATTACCAGTCAGAACAATAGAAATAGAAATCACATGAGCTAAATCCAGACAATATTGTTAAACCAGTTTATATTACTGATAAATCGTATTGCAGAAGGTTGAAATGAAATCCCTGATATAGAATAAGATTTAAAATCTGTCAAATTTCAAATACCTTTACCTGTTTTTGTTTCTAATCAATATAAATCATCCCATCTCATAGCGCTGTGTATTGCATGAGAAAAAAAAAAAAAAAACTTTTTTATGATAATGCTTTATCTTCAATATTTTTATTATAAGCTTGTTAAAAAGAATGGATTCCAATCATTGAACTTACATATATACTTTTGCGTTTTAATGAGCAGTGTTTGTCAGATTAGTGAGCTAAAATCATAAAAATAAATGCTTTTTGTTGTGTTGAATGCCAGTATCATGTTGAGATGACAACAATGTTTTGTACATGCATAGGAAGAGGAAAATTAAAGCAGTCTGCCACTGCGACTGCATGGGCCTTTTGTTTAGTCATAATGTCTTCTGAGGTAAGAAAGTTATAAACATTTAAGTTCTCAGGAGAGATCTGAGCTCCAGTTCCTTGGTAAAAACTGGCCCAGTAGTTTCCCTGATCTGACTCTGTTGCCATTAAAATTTGGCTTTTTTTTCTTATTCTCATGTAAAATCTGTGATGCGGTTTCAGGTGCAAATGTTGCGGGTCCTTAGTGAGCCATCCTCAAAAACAGTTGTCTGTGTTCTCTCACTGATACAGCAATGGCAACTGAATAGCCAAACCACACTTATTTTATTGATTATTTCCTGCACTGTACATACATACATTGCTACTCTCCTTTTTTAGGTTGCATGTTTTCAATTGTTCTTCTGTGTATTTGTTATGGATAATTTGTGTTTTGTGGGAATTAACTCTGATTAAGTAAGTATTTTGTATGCTGCAACACAAGTCTGGTTTTAAAAAAATAGTAGCATTAGGATTTAGATTGCTACATCTTAACATAATACAACAAACAGAAATGTGGGTGTCATTTATAAGGTATGTAGATATGCAAGTTGGAAAGGGGGGAGATTAGCAAAGGGTAGACGGGAAGGAGAGTTGAGGGATTCGGTGTGTTCACTTTTATAAAGAAGTGTTGAATGGAGTGTCAATTCTAATTCAAGTAATTAGAGAGGCAAACACAACAGTATTTGAAATGTCTTTGTGAGTCTTTAGCTCATGCAATTATTATAGAAAAAACTTTTAAAGAGCTAGATATAATTTTTTTATTTCTCCATATGACCTGTATTTCAGATTGGTTTCTGATGTTTTGAATGTATAAAAATGTTGCACTTATTTTTACAATAAATAAACAGTATTCTGCTTACCCTAGCTGCAACCTGCCACATTCTTTCTACTGATTATCTATCCACCCTATTCTCCCACATGATGCCTTGAGTGAATTATGGGTGTTACTTCTTCCACAAACTGACATTGGCATTTATTTGAATGCTAACAGGAGGCTATAAGTGTGAACAGCTGAAATTTGGCAATATTGTCCTACCACTACCTACAGTTATTGATGGAAGGGAGGACGACCTACACTAGCATACAATATTTAGATACGTCATTAACTCAGCTGCTTCAGATGCTGAAAATCTAAAAGGTATCAATATTTCCAGAGAAATAAAGAGGTGATATTCAATCTGATCTGCTGTAAAGCTGACACAGAGCCTAAACAAAACCTTTTCACCAGGCTTGGCTTTTACTTTCATCAACATCAGGGGAAATTGAACTAAAACTTGTGAAACTCAACTAAACTGAGCTAGAATGTACAAAGAGGAAGGGAAACATGGTTGAAATTAATAGTACAGTTTAAGATGGATTTTGTGTTTGAAAACCAGATTTTATCTGGAAGAATTTGGGATATGATCAAATTAGCTTTTCACTAATTAAGAGCAATTGGAATGTTTTCAGACCAATTCACAATGCAAATTTATGAGGTGAACAAAACATTATAAATGATTTGCTTCATCAAGAAACAATAACCTTTAGTCAAATGATTCTTTACCTTCTTTGATATAGCTAGCAGGGAATAGACATCAGGATTCCACTAAATGACTCTTGGGCATACTTGGTAATTGAAATGTAATGAGCATATGAGGAACACATGAACACTAATGCTAAATCGGTGTTTAAACACTTAGTGAAATGAGGCTTGTCCAAGCTTCAAAAACAGTTCACAATATATTTCTGTAGCATAGGGGAGCATGCGATCTATCCTGTAAGCTTTGTCGTTACTCATCGGTAAACACATGAAATGATCAACATCATCAAAAAAAATATTGTTTGTTCTGTCCCTAATTATGCCAGACCTGCAAACCTTTTTGTCCATTTCCATTTGGAAGGCTTGAGTTTCATCCATCTGCAGCTCAGCAGTCAGGCCACAGCAACCAGGGTTTTCTTTGTCTCAGTGGCTCACACCAGGGGTCCTTCTCTCCAGTCTGGCTCTGTAATTTCTGAAACTCAAGAGAAACTTGTTGCAAACGATTCTGTTTTGTAGTAGTCTGGTTCTGAATGGTCACCATAATGACTTATCCTTGAGGATTCTGGAGATCTGGGTCTTTTGGGCCCGGATCTCCATTTAAGCTGCCTCTTCGATGTGCACCCAGGCAGCCTCATGGTAAAAGAGAGGGAAAAGAGAATGTTCTGTGGTTTTCTCGGGTTTAGTTGCTCTCATCTCTGTGGGAGTTCTTGTGGCTGAGTTGGCTGAAAATAGGGGGGTTGGAGAGACCTTACAGCTGGTTATTCACCAAGCTGTTATCCTCTTCTCTGGTCATCATGTCAAGATGAAATATTGACACTTGTTCCAAATGTCCAAAAACCATAATCATAGCATATGGCACGACAGTATCAAAGAATGTGATTAGGAACAAAAATAAGGGGGTACAATAACTAAAACATGAAGAAAACTTCCTGTTTGATTTTTAAAATCTAAAATGTCAGTTTGGGTAACACTAAAATAATCAGTGTTTTATTTTCAAGAGGATATTTCAGTAGATGCACATTTTTCAGACTCCACTACTGGGTATTCAGAATCTAAACCACACTAATAGTAATTGAGGTGCTAAATGGATGAAGATGATAAAGATCATTGGTTCTTCTTGACTTGAAATAAAACATTCCATTCATTCTTCCCCCATAACTTAATTTATAATTTACTGAATACTCTCAGGTCCGAAGCCCTCACATCCATCCATCATGACCCTGAATACCTGTTGTCTGAAACGAAGTTCTAACTTAAATAAACTTCTACAAAAACCTTGTTGTTTAACTAGTATCTGACAGAAAACACAAGAAAGGCTTCAACAATGATATTATCAGAAGGCCGGGATGCTCTTTTCATCTTTTTTATTCTATCCCTATTTTATCAACTGGTTCAGGGTCACAAAAAGATGGTGCCTAAAGAAGAAAACAAATATGATGTCTTGGAGGACAGAATATTAAATTATTGTTCAGAATATTATGTCATGATATTTAACAAATGTAATGTGTGTCAGTAGTTACTTAAAATGATAACATTATAGTGACACAGAAACTAAATTATAATTAATAAAATATTTGTTTTACCTACATATGTAAATTAATAAATAATTATCAATACATATTATTCAATATAAATCAATTACTAAATACAATATATATAGATTAAACTAAATTATTTAAATGTTGTGAAGCAGATTTGATTAAAGAATTTTCTTTTTATTTCCCTTAAAGTTCATCAAAGTAAAAGTCAGAAAAAAATCTGTTTTTAATGATAAAAGCTTTGTCATTTTGAGAAGTTTAAAATTGTCCACACTTTTACTGAACTACCTGCTATAGCTCACTAAACTCCCCTCTAGAAAGGGTTTCAGGAGAAGTAAGGTGGATACAACTCAAATCACTTAATGGATTTTTATTGCGCACACATTTTATCAATAAGCATCCACACACATTAGGCAGCTTAACTGCTACAACTACACTAGCCTGTCGGCTTGACAATTAGTGAGTCAGTTAGCAACGTTAGTTAGGTTGTAAACCTGCAATGCAAACAAACGCAAAACCCGGAATTAACCAATGACCTTATACAATAATTCATGAGATATTAATGCTTGATTTGGATTGTTAGCCATGCTAGTTTATAGCCACTCACCGGCAAGGCATACCAGTCATAACCATCATACACAGACACACAGTCTGGATACCAGAAATGATGATAAACAAACCTGCAGCCTGGTATGATTATGAAATATGTGAATTATTAAATAAAATATGCATTCATTTGGAACAAGGTGGTAAATGTACATATTATTTTTATTTATTTATTTTTTTTTTTTTACAGTTTTTATGATTAAGTATCAGAAGAAGATACTGATAAGCAGTGGTTGCAAAGACTTTTTGAAGGGCAAGGACAGAAAGAAAAGAAAAAAAAGGTCATATATCATGTCCTCAAGCCTGCAGAAGGCAATTTAGCATGTATTTTTGAACAATCCTTTTGTTTCAGTGTCATACTGCCCTCTGATGGTATCATGTTTCCTCTGCCTGCCACTGCTGTTGAGGCAGACATAAAACAATTGAATCTTCAGATTATTGCTTAAACTAGTCACACTGCTTACTACTTTTCAACGTGCGTTGTGGGAAATTTCGCTTCCACTACTTTTTCATTCACTATACATTCGGGAAATTATCTAAAATGACGTAACCACTGTACAGTGCCCTATATAGTGATTAGGGTCGGA